GCATCCCTACAAAGCCGGGACGGAGCACGCCGGGTTCTCACCGGACCAGGCTCTCACATCACCAAGCGCGAAGCGCCGTGAGGTATTCGGCGAGTCGCATGAAGGGTGCGCTGCATCCTGCTAAGGGTGTTCGGCTTCTTGTGTTTCCTTCCTTGCGTACGGATGACAGCTGCGTATGACTTATTTACTTTCTGGTGCTTTCACTTCCAGAGACAGTTGTAAGCACTGTGTAACTGCCTCGATGGTGCTTGACCATTTTAACACAACGTGGTGCGATCACCCCCCTTGCGCGGAGTGAGGGTTCTCTACCCCGCACAACATGATCCACTCGACCACCACTGTGGTTACCGCCAAAAAAAAAAACGGAGGTAAAAAAAAAAAAGGTAACCTGGTTGCCGAGTTCACGAAATGAATTGGCTTGTGTTACAACGTCGTTGCCAAGCGACGAAAACCCAACCCCGATGGAAAACATCGGGAGGGGGGTTTAGGGGGATATTCGTCCATTAAACTCGCTCGTGCGAGACAGTAGCTCTCATGTGATGTGAGTCGTTTGGCCATTGACCTCGAGTAACAACACACGAGCGTGTGGTACGTTTTCCCCGTGTTGCCGCAATGTCCCAGCTACTCGAGGCGGCATGCTGGCGGTGGGGGTCGAGGGTGGGGTACACAGCACAGACTATTCTCATGTCGGAACCCTTGCACACACCAATCGGCCATTGCGCCGCATGTCCCGAGCTGCTCAAATCACATTCCAGGAGGCAAACGTACAAGGGTTTTCATGTCCTCGTGCTGCTCCCGAAAGACCATATCAAGCCCTCGCCTCGTCTACCGATGAGCCACGATCCGGGGTCCCCCAGCACAAGGTATGCATACCTTCCGCGGATGCCTCTTTCGAACCGCGGGAAAGGCTCACATCTGGCATCTAGCCAACACAAACGCTTCTCCCCAGAATGGTTGTGCTACCTAGCTTCGAGGTGCAAGTGCGTGTCTCAACTCACCTGTTGCCCGTGCGTCGAGTTGATGTACTCCACGAGCTCCAGCAGCGTGCACCTTTTCACTTCCTTATCCCTTCAATAGCCCGCCGCCGTCATAGAGCCACGCCACGTTCAACAGCACAAGGGCAACAAAACAACCAGGTTAGGTGTGGGGCGATTCAAATAGACAACACATGCAGAAACAATACGACGGTCCAAGATAGAAACAAGGCGGCATCCTTTCTGATATCGATTTTCCATATCGACAGCACAAAGGCAACAAAACAACCTGGTTAAGTGTTGGGTGATTCAAACAGACAACACATGCAATGAAAACACGACAAAACAAGATATAGACAAGGCGTCATCCTTTCTTACCTCGATTATCCTATCGTTTCTCGCTCAAGAGTCACGACTACGAGTCACGACTACACCCCCCAAGGCCGACGAGTTCACCTACGGAACCTACGGATCGATCTCTGACCCCTACCCACCTGCACTGTGACCGGTACAACCTAGAGCTCTCCTTTTTCCTCAACATCTCTCGCTAAAGCGTACAGCCTTGACACGTAGACATTTCCATCTTTCCTCACCCAAGGGTCAGTCTCTTCAACCCTTCACGCCACCCTTTGACCTAGGGCTCACCATCGTGTCGTCGCTTCTGACCTCGATTTCCCCATCGTTCGAGTCTAGCCTCAGCCCCAAGGCAGACCAAAAGCCACCTACCGGCTAAACACTAAACCGTACCCCAGTTAACTCCAACCCTCCGACATATAGGTCTCCCATCAGTTGGGTATCCTTTGATGGTGTCTGACCTCGAGTTCTCCATCGGGTCCGTCATGTCAAACACGACCGTGCACAGCTTGAGCTTCTGCTGGAACAACGCCTCTCGCTGGTGCTGTGGTGTGTCCTGCACAAGGTCAAGATCAAAACCACAGCAAAAAACTCATGAGTACACCGACATGGTGCACACCCAGCCTTGTCGCATCATCACCAGCCTATAATGCTCTCTGCACTGCGACCTGTCTCATCCAAGAGCAAACATTGCTATCATAGCGAAAACATTGGCGTCTCCAGAGATTGGACTGGCGAGCACGAGCGGACGTATCTGCATGTTGCTGCCTGCCTTCGAGAGTTACAACAATTTGACCCGATGGCCTGCGCATCAATCGTTGGGGCGGCGCAACACCCGAACTGGTCAACGAAGTACACAGCCAAAGGGGGGGGGTACTCATAGTCGTGCATGCCGTAGTCGTTAGACCATTGACCTCGCACCCCTAAAAAAGCCGGGACGGAGCACGCCGGGTTCTCACCGGACCAGGCTCTCACATCACC